TTCCCTTTTTCTGATCCATCTGCAGGTTTTAAGGCTGAGGATTCTAGGGTTTTCAGAAAAGACAGACCTTGAAGTCGCCAGCGAAGTACATTCCCCCGATACAGACACAACTAGCGAAGAAGCAAAGAACCATCTGAACCTCGAGGACAAGCGTGTAAGTGATCGGTTGTCGGGCTTTCCTGTAAGACAACTCCACCAACGGTAAGATAAAAGCGTACATAATGGCGGCCCCGGCAGCCATGATGAAACCCATGACGTATTGCTTGTGAGATTCTTCAACAGGCTTGTCTGCTTCCGTATGCATTCCCAAGACAGCAGCTCCAATGGTCAATAACACGACGGCGTTAATGGTGAAATGAGTGAACTTGTGCTTGACCATGAAGAACGAGAAGACGGCGATGAACGCTAACTGAGAGGCGATGATAAGGGCGGCTGTCGAAACGGGTAAAAAAGCTAAACCGTAAGCGTATAAGTAGTTATCAAAGCCTGAGAGCACGCCGACGATGATGGAGGCCATTAGAAGACGTGGCTTCATCAGGAAGAAACTGGTCTTGGTGTCTGTTCGACGGCGTTGAAGGTAGAAGAAGAGGAGGGGGAGGAGGATGACGGGAAACCCGGCGGTTTCGAGGAAACTGGAAAACCAGATCCGGTTTCCGCCATTGTTGAAGTAGAGACGCATGATCAGAGGTCCTCCGCAGTTTCCAATGGCGAGTATGATGCAGTTTATGATCACCATAGCCGTCGCCATCTCTTCCGCTGTAAGTCATTATCATCAAAACGTACAAGAAAAGCGTATACATCATTATATACATATATGTGTGTGTGTCTCGAAAGGTTGAAGCTTTTCTGCTTTCTCTTTCCGAGGATCAGAGGAAAAGGAGAGAAGAAAGAAGATAATTGATTACCTAAAGCTTCTGGTTCTTCTCTGCTGCGACGTTTTTAGGGTTAGGGTTGGGGTTTTGTGTTTTGTGTTCGTGTTCGTGTTCGTGTTCGTGCAGAGACAGAGACAGAGGCAGAGATTATGGGTTGTCTTATTGAAACTGGAGAAAACCAAATCCACTTGTAACTTGGATTGGATCCTCCTGTTCTGTTTCAACACAGCTTTTTTTTTTTTTTTTTTTTTTTTTTTTTTTTTTTTTTTTTTTTTTTTTTTTTTTTTTTTTTTTTTTTTTTTTTTTTTTTTTTTTTTTTTTTTTTTTTTTTTTTTTTTTTTTTTTTTTTTTTTTTTACAAAGGGCGATTTTTATTAAAATTTAATCCTCACCAAGTTTTTTTTTTTTTTTTTTTTTTTTTTTTTTTTTTTTTTACAAAGGGCGATTTTTATTAAAATTTAATCCTCTTTATTATATTATTTTATCGATAATAAATTTCCTTATTTTAAGTGAAGCCCGTGAAAATATCGAGGAAGAAAACTGAACCAGAGATGTTGACTCAGCAATAAATTAAATAAATGTTAAAAGTTCCAACCTTTTTTGGTCCCACAATTATAGCAAACGGTTAATAATATATATAGAGAGAGAGAGATATTATTCCGAATTAAAATAGTTATTTATAGATTATTTCTCTCTTTTATTTGTTTTACTTCTTTTGAAAATTGTGTGACATCGACATGATATTGGTAGATTTTAATTTTATACAACCCAATTTTCAAAAATAACTTTTACATTAAATTTCAAAGGAAAAACGAAAAGAACACAACGAGATTTTATTTATTTAAAATACCAGACAATTTGTTTTTTCTTCCAATAATTTCTTGAAACTTCGTTAATATCAGTCAATTATTTTTAATTTTTTTGTCATTATGTATTGTAATATTACCAATTTTTTACTAAATTAATCTGCAAACTTCGTGCTCATCCCAAATCGTTTTTACCTTTTTTAGATTTATTTTTATCGTAACTTATCAATTGGTAACTAAAAAGAACTAATATACTTTTAGAATTCAGTTTGGTTTTTTTGTTATATTAAAAAATATATATTTCTAATAAAATTTAAAAAAATATCCGAATCTATAAAAAAATATTTAATCTGTATATCTAAATAATTATGGTTATCTTAAAATTTTATAGTATTTATTTAATTTAGTAAAATATAAAATTATAAGAACTCTAGAGTACTAGCAAACTATCCAGTATTATAAATTATAGTCTTTGTAAATTAAAAAAAAGTGTGAATAAAATAAAATTGGCCCACAGCTCGAAGTTAGAGAAAAAAAAATTATTCAAATTGAATGGAATAGCATATAACTGTATTCCAATTGAAATGATTAATTTAAACTCAACGAAAAACTCATTAAAACTAAAAAGGTATAATCTTAACAAAAAATAAAACGAATTAAAAAATAGCTGAATAAAAAAAACATAACTGAGACAGAAAATATTTATCCTAGATAAAACTTGTATGTCCAGATAAATTTTGGAATAATAATTAAAAAATTTTGATTTCTTCATAAAATTTATAAAATTTTAAATTAAATTGTTATTGACACCGGAATAAAATTAAATTATTCCTCGTATATCTCTCCACATAAGTTTCAAGACATTGGATAAGTTTTATGGTTTTACTGGGAAAGGAAATATTTCAACATCAGATTCGGTTTAGGGTCATACCGGTTTTTGCCTAACGTGATGGAGTTTCCTCGGTTTGTTTGGTTTAGTTAAACCGGGCGAAATCACATGACCCTGAGTGTTAACCGGTTTAGATACAAATTGAATCGGATCACAAGACAGAAATTAAAAAAAAAAAAAGGTCGGATCTTGATCAAAATCTGTATTATTTCTCCGATCGAACATCGTTGAATAAAACCGAGATGCAAAACTTCTTTCCAACCCAAATCCGAGTTTTACGGAGAGAGACATTCATCTAGATTTCTTCGATCTTTTGGGAGATGTAGTTGAGACAAAAGACCCGATAAATTTTCGGATTATAAAAAAACATCGTTGAATAAACAATCGATCTGTTCAAAGATTCGAGCTTTCGAATTATTCAGATGAAAATATCGGGTTTTTTTAATCAAAACACTATTTTTTTTTTATACAAAACAGAACTGAACTGAACACTGCACATAAAAAATGCAAGTTCTAAGCTTAGTTCTGTCTGAATCAAAAGACTGAAAAAAAAGGAGCTTCAAGGCCAAACTTTAAACTACGGACCCGGAAGCCGACCCATCTCGGTCTCTTCGTGGATCAACCCATCCTTTTCCGCCTTCCCGGCTTTCGCCTCCCCGTAGAAGTAAGAGGCGAATCCCCAGAGGGACAGGACGAGGGAGACGCCTTTCTCGGAAGAAAACGTCTCGTGGTAGAAGACGACGGCCAGAACCTCGGTCACGGGGAGCAGGACGGCGATGAGGATCCCCGAGACCAGGGACGAGGCGCAGAAGATCACCCCGATGGCTCCCAAGAAGAAGCATTGCCACATCAGGCTCGCCCCCACCAGCACCACGTAATACAGCGACGGCCCGAGCTGAAACGTTTCCGCTTCTTTCGGAATCATCTGCCAAAAAACAAATAAGATTACAATTAACGCCGAATTCGACCATCTGGGTATCGGAAATAAAATCAAATCTAAATATTACGCCAGTCTACAGATCAATCAGATCAAGAACAAGAATTACCCATATGGCATACACTTCAATTTCAGACAGAACCCTACTGGTGTTTCAATGCTCAAGATCATCCTAATTCAGATTCCATGGATTTGGTTGAATACTCACATGTTCACTCAATCTAATATGCATTATATATATGTATGTGTGTGTATGTGTGCAGAAACATGAACTCCAATTCAGACAGAACCCTACTGGTGTTTCAGCATGGTCATCCTAATTCTCTACAGATCATACATATATACATGCATATATATATATATGTATATCATTACCTTGAAATCGCCGCTAATGAGCATTCCGGCGAAGCAGAAGAGTGTAGCGAAAAAGCACATGACGAACTGGAACTCAAGAACAACGTCGTAACTGATCGTTTGACGGGCCTTCTTGTAGGAAAGCTCGATGAGCGGCAGCACAAACGCGTAAAGAACAGCCGCTCCGACCGTGAGGACGAATCCCGTCACGTACTGTTTCTTCGTCTCGTTCGCCGGAATATCCGAAGCCGTGTGTAGAGCCAATACCCCCGCTCCTAGGGTTAGCAGCACAATGGCGTTTATGGAGAAAGGCGTGAACTTTTGCTTGACGAGGAAGAACGCGAAAAACGCGGTGAACGCTAACTGGGACGCGATTATCAGAGACGCGGTCGAGACGGGTAAAAACGATAACCCGTATGCGTATATGTAGTCGTCGACGCCGGTGAGGAGACCGGAGACGGCGGCGCCCATGAACAGACGCGGTTTCATGAGGATAACCCCCGCGTTTCCGTCGCTGTTGCGACCGTGATTGCGTCTGCGGTTGAGGAAGCAGAAGAGCAGAGGGATTAACATGAGCGGGAAGCCGCCGGTTTCGAGAAAGCTCGAGAGCCAGACGCTTTTTCCGCCATTGTTGTAGTAGAGACGCGACATGAGAGGTCCTCCGCAGTTTCCGATCCCAAGCAAAACGCAGTTCAGAATCACCAACGCCTTCCCCATGATCGGATCCTTCTCCTTCTTCTTAAAACGACAGGACACAAGTGAGAGATCTGTGTCTGTTGCTGATAGTTGTGTGGAAACTGGAAAAAGTTTACGAGGGGATGAGATATTTGAAGGGAGAGAGAGAAGGACGTTTTCAGCGTTTCACGGGGTTTTCAGCTGCGTTTGCGTTTGAAAACGCAACGCTTTTCTTTTTTCTTTTTTCTTTTAATGTAAACTTATATGGAAAATAATACTAAATTCCTTTTTCTTTCCTTTATTTTCCTATCTCCGTTTGGTAAAAAAAAAAAAGAATCTGATTTTCTTTTTATTTTCAATTTCGTTAAGAGTTAGTTTTTTTTTTAAACTTCGTAAGGTTATTAAAAACTTTTACCTGATTTCGTGTTAACGAGATAACAAATAGTTTTAACCGTCAAAAAAATTATTGTTTTTGAAAAATAATTTTAACCAAAAAATAATATTTTTAACCGCAAAAAATATTATTTTTAGTTGTTTCCGTACAAACTGTAAACTGTTTTTTTTTTCTCTTCTGTGAAATCTACTTATTTATGTAAAAAAATAGAATGCTTGTAATTTTTTTTTTGTTAAAATAGAATTTTTTTTTTCTTTTTTTCGAAAAGTAAATAACAGATTATGGTATTTACTTGCTGTAAATACCCTGAGTTTATAATATTACCATTCTTAAAAATATTAATCGGTTGAGGCGTTCGCATTTCATTCCATTTTTCAAGAAAAAAATATATTAATTAATACAATAAAAGATAAGATCTTTGTATAATTTCATCTTCTGTTTAGATCGCAGTAGGATTTGTTATATATTTAATTTTCGATAAAAATCCGAAGACAGATTAGGAATTGGATCGCATATATCCTGATTTATTTATTTTTTTGTAAAAAAATATTTAAGTTACCTTTTTAAAATATTTTCCACACATTATATATATATATATATATATTCGTAGGGATTATGGGTTGTGCAAAAAGGGGTTTGGACACATGAAGAGATGCCACCTTTTTCCAGCCTTTTTTTAAAATATATATTTTTGTTATATTCGTATTATAAAAAAATAAAGGGATAATTAGTTTCGTATTATAGGGAAAATTCCAAAACCGCTGCACTTCCACAATTAATATAATATTCTTTTTTAGCTGGATTTTCTTTTCGTAAATTTCTTTTACGCACTTTTTCCCCCTAAAAAGGGAATATTTTGGAACTTCCCCTATATATGAGGACTGAAAAAAACGAATAAATACATCTAAAAATAAAAAAAAAAATATAAAATAAAAGGATACATGATGTACTCATCTGTATTTTAAAATAGATAAAACAAAATCTTTTAATTTATATCGAAATACAAAAAACATATCATTCGCATCACGTTGTTGCAATATATATATATATATATATATTTAAAATATGAAAATCTTTTTTTCAAGATATAAAGCAAAAAATCAATCCGGATTATATATATATATATATATAGTTTTTTCGATAATAATATATTTTAAACCAAGATTCAAATTAATTTCGAGATAAAAAACCAATCATATATACTTTGAATTATATATTTTTTCTCTAAATTTGATATTCGAATTCGGAACAATACAAACACTTTTCATCTTTTTTCATCGGTTGATCTAACTAAATTCAGATATATATATTTAATTGTAATATTCGTTTGGTTTGATTTGACCAGACAATACCATATCATAAATTGATCCGATTTTCAAAAAGGACAGATATATTTTCAAAAATAATTTAAATAATTCCAACACGATGATCAATAATTGGAAAATAGAACATTAAGTATTCGAAATAAGTCAAAGATTAGTGTTCATTTGACCATTGTGAAGCAGACACAAATTATTATTTTTCCAATTCAAACGAACACCTAATGATGTTGACTGATTAGTCAACGTCGAAACAATGACTTCTTTGACTCTAAAGACTTTATGCTAGGTGGCAGGGATGGGACGTTTCGGTGCGGTTCTTCGGATCGGTATTATTTTCAGAGAATTGAATTTTTCCGAAATCGAATCGAATTTTAGAAAATCTCGAAAAACCGAATATTTTTAAAGGAAATCTATTTTTTTAATAAAATCTAGAACCGAACCGAACATAATATAAAAACCGATTGGTAGTTATTTTTGTAAAACTAAAAACCGAACCAATCTATTTCCGTTCTGAACCCGAATCATTTCCCGAAACGGCCACCTAGTGGGTGGGTGGATGTCGATTTTAATAATAATAATAATAATAATAATAATAATAATATGATGTCATGGTCAATAAATTTATTATTTTTTCCTAATAAAACATTCGGATGTTGTCTTTGTTCAATGTATTTTAGATATAGTTCCCATTATTGTTCTATATTCCATTTTTTGGTCAGTCGTGTACGTGTTAAACATGTGTTTTTTTTTTAATTGTGTGTAGAAAAAAAAATTGATTTACAATATAATCTCTAGATGCTGATTAGATGATCGGTTCGGTTTACATGTATGTTTAATCTTTTAAAAAAAATAAATAAATTGTGTAGTTATACAATTAATTTGGGGATTAAATTCGGACTACTCTTTTATGAAATGTAAATTATATTAATTAAAATGTTTTTATGAGTTTAATTTTCAAATGGAATTTATGTTATATTATGCAAGACAGATTTCTATTTGGATTGAACCGCAGAAACGAATAATGGAGTGTAAACCATTGTAATTAAATAAATCGAATCAATATATAATATTCGAAACATCACATTTTATATATTGACATACATTCACACCATAAAATTGTGCGTTTATATATATATATATATATATATATATATATTGAAAACGATCGAATGTAGAGATACGATTAAAGACACAAAGGATCAATTGCCGTAGATTACTTACAACGGATGGTGAGATACGATAAAATGTATAATATTTTATTAAAGCACGAGAAGAATAATGAAATGATTAGATACAACGGATGATGAGACGAATTTCAACCTAACTATGTCAGCAACATTTTATAATAACAATAATTAAAAAAAGAGAGACACGACATCACATTAATCATGTCAGATATTCGGGTCTATAAACCGGTTCAGATTCGGTTCAATCGTCCGGTTTGCATATCGGAGAGTTATCCGGTTATTTGGAAACAACAAACCGGAGCTCACCAAACCCAAACAAAATGATACCCGGGAATAACCGGAGAGATTGTTGGGCAACCCTCCAATCATCAAACCGGAACAGAACCGGTTAATACAACCCTAATCAAATACGAATTCTCAATAACTAGGGATTGGAATCAGAACCAAGAGGCAAGAACATGTCCTTTTGCAACATAAACCATTCAAGAAAAAGAAATTCATTTTCACGACAAAGATGGATTCAATCAACGCCCCTTTGAAGAAAAAAAAGCATATCATTCTTTTCCATCAAATCCAAAAAATTAAAATTCGTACTGAAATTATCAAATTTTGCAAATATATATATATATATATATATATATATATATATATATAATATTGTATGGTCATGACAAAATCCATAAAAAAAATATCGTATAATATTCCAACATATTACAACAACAACAACATCGCATCATTCCCAATTTCATTTGGGACCAATTGCATGAATCATTTTTCTCCGCTCATTTCGATCACGAGTTAGCTCTTTCGGAATCTACAACACTTCCAAATCGTTTCTAATATGAGACGCTCCCAAGTAATTCTAAACCTACATTTTCCTTTCCTTCTCATCCATATACCTATAATCTCCACTTTTCTAACCGGCGCATCTATCGGCCTATGTTGTACATATCCAAACCATCTTCAACGCATCTCCCGTACCTTCTCTTCGATACCTATTATTCATATTTTCTTTCTAATAATCTCATTTCTAATTCTATCCATCCTTGTGTGCCTGCACATCCATCTCAACATCCTCATCTCGGCCACACTCATTTTAGATATATGTTGTCCTTTCGCCGCCCAACATTCGCTACCATACAATAATGTGGGTCTTACGGTGGTACGTTAGAATTTTCCTTTCAATTGTAGAGGAATCTTACGATCACAAAGGACCCCATGACTTGTCTTCATTTCATCCATCCCTCTTTTATTCTGTTACTAACAACTTCGTCGCAACCCCCATCTTTTTGAAAGATTTGCTCAAGATATTTAAAATGTGAGTTTTGAGGTATTGATCCTCCTTGCAAGATAATGGATGTACTCCGTCTTCATCCTACTAAGCCTAAAACACTTAGCCTCTAATGTATTCCTCCATAACCCTTCTCTAGACTCGTCTATTAGAACGATATCGTTCGCAAACATCATGTATCATGATACTTCCTTCTGTATATCTCTAGTCAGTTCATGACTAGCGCGAAAAGGTACAGACTTAAAACAGATCCTTGGTGCAACCCTATCGAGATGGAAAAATCTCGTGTGTCACCCCCTGTTGTTTGGATACTAGTATTCGCACCGTCATATATATCCTTCAATACTTGTATGTATCTTACTGATACTCCCCTATGCTCTACCACCCACCATAAAACCTCTCTTGGTACTCGATCATAAGTTTTTTCGAGATCGATGAATATCATGTGCAAATCTTTCTTCATATATCGAAACTTCTCTATCAAGTTTCGAATGAGAAAGATTGCTTACATTATAGACCTTCCGGACATAAAACCAAATTGGTTTACGGAAATAGATGTATCGCTACGCAAACGTCGCTCCACGATCGTTTTCCACAACTTCATCGTATGATGCATGAGTTTGATGTCTCTATAATTTGTGTAACTTTGGATATCTCTATAATTTGATGCCTCTTATATTTATTTTTAAATATAATGACTAAAGTGTTTTGTCTCCATTCATTTGACATCTTCTTCGACACTAGGATTTTATTAAACAACCTAGTAAAACAAATTACTCCATCTTCTCCTAAGCACTTCCATACTTCGATAGGAATACCATCGGTACCACACGCTTTATCTATTTTCATCTTTCTTAGCGAGTCTCCCACCTCTACACATCTAATCATTCTAGTATAACCGACATTCCTCTCCCTAGTGACGGTCTCTAGTTCTATGTGGTCCACATACATACTTTTGTTATATAGGTCATCGAAGTGACTTTTTCATCTCTCTTTGATGTCGTCAACTCTAACTAGTGTATTATCTTCTCTATCTTTAATGTATCTAACCATGTTCAAATCTCTAGTTCTCCGCTCTCTCGCTCTAACTATCTTATATATGTCGTTTTCTCCCTCTTTTATCCTGAGCTTCTCATACATCCTTTCAAAGGTCTTTGCACTTGCTTGGCTAAAGGCTTTCTCCGTCTCCTTCTTAGCCAACTTATATTGTTCATATGCCTCGTTTGTATTACATTTAGACAATTTTCTATACCAATCATTTTGGTCTTTAAAGCTTTTTATATTTCTTCACTCCACCACCATTTTTTCTTTGTTGGTGGTTCATACCCTTTTGATTCCCTAAGTATCTCTTTAGCAATACTCTTAATATTAGACGGCATAGGTAACCACATTTCATTTGCTTCTTTATCTTCTCTTCACACCTTCAATATTAGCATCTCTTTTTCGAATAGCTCACATTTTTGGTTTTTTAAATCCCACCACCTAATTCTTGGTATATCCTTTTTTCTTGGACGAGATGTCTTTCTCTTGATCTTGACATCTATCACTAACAACCTATGTTGACTAGTCAGAGCTTCATCCGGGATAACTTGCAATCCTTACCTAGGGTACGACTTGACTTTCTTGTAACACTACTAGAAAACACGAAAAAAGTGATGCAAAATTTGTGTCACTAAAATGGTGACCTCAAAAGTGACGTAAATAGTGATGCAATACTTTCGTCACTAGTGCATCACCAAATAGTGATGCAATGGTGACGCGTAGTTGCGTCACCAAAAGAAGACAAAAAAATGACGCAAAATTTGCTTCATTAAAAAGGGTGATGCAAGGGTGACACAATTATTTTTATCACCTTGTGGTGACATAATTTAGTCAGTTTTTGGTGACGCAATTGCATCAATATATCTGTATTTTATTATTTATACGTATAAACATACAAATATTTATATATAAATATGTATTATATATATATATATATATTTGTAGTACATATATACAAATATTTATAAATACAAATTTTATATATATGTATATATTACATATATGTATTTAACGTATAAATATAAGGGTATATATATATAAACTTATATTTTATGTATACATATATATTATGTATATAGATGTGTATTTATATATAAATGTATATTATATATATATATATATATATTATATTTATACGTATCAATATACGAACATATACGTATAAATATTTGTATATGTATATTAAATGCTGAAATATATCAGAAGTTTAACTTGAAGCAGTTGGTTGTTTGTCAATTGAAACTCTAAAGCTAAGCGTGCTTGTGTTGAAGTAGTGGAAGGATGAGTGATCTCCTGGGAAGAGGACTTCAGGGTTTCAATTTCAAAATTTCCGATTTGGTTTAAGATCGCGATTGGAGGTTAGAGGTCGGGATTAGATTATAGGATTTGGTTCGCGATCAAAAAAAATTTTGGATCGAAAATACGTTGTAGTGACGCAATAATTGCGTCCCTAAATGGTGACGCAATTGCATCACTTTTTTGTGTCACCAATTGCGTCACCAAATAATAGCATAAAAGTTGAGTCACTATTGCGTCACCATTTGATGACGCTGGTAACGAAATCTGAATTGGTGACGGTGTGAATGGTGATGATTTTCGTTGCGTCACTTGTGAAAAGGGTGACGCAAAAATATAAAATGGTGATGCTAAATGTGGTTCTCTTTTCTCAAAGTGAGTGTTTACCAATATAAGATCATACGACATGGCAAAATCTAGGATATTTTTTCCTTCTTCGTTTCTACTCCCATAGCCAGACCCTACATGTACCATTTTATATCCTGGTCGTTCCTTTCCGACATGTCCATTTAAATCTCCACCGATAAAAATAAACTCTTCGGGCGGTATACTTTGCATAAGTTCATCCATATCCTCTCAAAATTTCTCTTTACACTCACTATTTAATCTTATTTGCGGGGCAATAGAGATTAAGGATAATATTCCAACATATTACAGAAAAAAAATCCAATTCGGATAGTTTAACCGCTGAAATTGATATGTATAAAATTCGATTTTTACCTAATATGGATAGTTGAACCGGTGAAACAGGAATGAAAATATCTATTTCGTCCTGAATTCGAACCTCAAGTTGATAAGAAAAGTGTAATTCTAATCACATGGTTTATAGGATGGGCATAATATCTGAAAAAACCGAATCGATTCATTATTTGATTCGTATCCGAACCGAAAATTTGGATATCCGTAATTTAGGGATCGAATACGGATATTGATTTCAAGATATTTGTCGGATACAGATCGGATTCAGATATTAAAATAGGATTTTTCGATATATCCGATATGATCTGTATTTTTTGGTAATATTAATAATATTTGATTAATTTGGTAATTATTTTATAAATTGTGGACAATTTTTAAAAAACAAAAATATGTTAGGGTTATTGTTGTGTTATCATTCTTCTACTTCATTTGTCCGTCGTCCGTCCGTCTCTCTCACCTCTCTCACTATTAAACTTTGGAATTTGAGTTTGTTCATCTGTGTTTCGTATGTATGTTCCTTTGTCTTCTACACAAACTGCACCATTGTTTTAGTTTGTAAGAATATTTCTTTATCTCAAAGTTTCTATATTTTTCCATATTTGAAAATTTCTTACAGATTTCCAAAATTTGTGAGTTGGAGAATTTGAATAATCTGCAATTTTCGTTTGAAGGTTTTTTAGTCTAATGAGTATAGAAGAATATGCAGTTTTTTATAGATTTCCATGGGATTGATTTTCAGTGGGACTGTACTTGATTCTTATTTATTTTATTTGTGTTTTTAAATTTTTTTCTTATTTGATTTATGATTGTATTATTTTTCATGTCGGATACTAATATTCGCAAATATCCGTAATTGTTAAAGATATTCGAAATTACGAATATCCGAAAATTACGGTTCGGATACGTATAATAAAATCGAATATTTATACGGATCGGATACGGATATCTCAAAAATACCTGAATATCCGATCAGTGTCCACACTTTATTATTTGTTCGTGGTTCCGAAATTAGTTTCGGCCTAGACACCCAATTACCTATGGTCATGAACAAAAGTAAAGTAAATCATCATCATCCATGTAATGTAACATAGGCACGTGCATTGCACGTGCTTTCTTCACTTTTCGCCGTCTAACTGTCCCTATTTATCTTTTGCTTTCGTTGCCAAACTCATAGGCTTGTTTTATATTAAGAAAAAACAACAATTGATTTGGACCGCCGATTAGAAATGATGATATACTACTAGTCTTATGTAACAATATAGAATTGTTTTTTAATAACATGTCATGATCAAAACTATCATGCACATAGGCCAAGCACGTTTTTTTAGGTTATTAATGGGGGTGCGGTTTGGTTGTTTAAAAATTAAATCGAATAAATTATTCAAATGGAATTGGATTATAACATAATTAAACCGATCTCAATTAAATAACCATTTGGTTATTAATTCTCCGAACACAAAATTATAAGATGAATTAATTAAACCGAATAAATAAAATTCAAATTCATGCGTCTGATTCCAAATAAACTTGGAATTAAAGTGATATTGTTGTTGTAAATAGAACCAAATTATATGTAATTGAATAAATTGAACCCAATAATTCGATCATCTATGTATTATCAATTAATGCGCAATATGAATTATATCTACATAGAGAAATTAGCATAATTAATTTGTTCATATAGTTTTGTAACCAAGGTATACAACTAAAGTAAGCCTTTTGCATTTTTCTTAAATAACATTTTGAAATTTGGTTTATTTACGGCAACACTCGAATCAAACCAAATTTATATTTGGTTTTAATTTCAATTAAAACCAAACAACCGTTTAGTTATAGATTTTTCAAAATTTAAAATAATCAGACCTAAATTAACCATAACCAAATAAAGACGATCAAACCATTCACCCACTTCTAATTCTTACTTATTATATATATATATATATATATATATATAATTCATAAAAATACATCTTAAATCTACTCAACAATTACCATTTATAATCATTAAATCAAATAGAAAGGCATAAAAATAATCATCATCATTTATATTGAATACTTGTTATAAAAATATCTAGATAAAAATGAGAAAGTGTAATGAAAGAGAGTTATATAAACAAAATACAATGATACTTTCGTAAATTAACTCTACAAATAAAATGGTAAATTTGTCGTAACCCAAAGACCGACAAGTACCCGTAACACAAATAATCTTATGTCCTGAATCCAAAATTAAGATTTTCCAATATTCAAAATATACAAAATTTCGGATGCCGACAAAATCAGAACACCCGAAATTCAACTTTTTTTTATACAAAGATCATCACATGGACCGTTACAAACTTTCATATCATACAATATGATTCTATTTTACACCATCTTATTCTCACACACATTCAACCAAAGTTCATATTGTACATGAAATGTCATCTTCATCCCTTTAATGGCTCCACACCCATATTACACATACACATACACATACACATACACATACACACACATACACGTACACATACACATATAGTTTTGGATGTTAAGGGATGGAATCTTAGGCATTCATCACTCTCCGATCTCTGAGAAGGCGTCCGCGAGTTTCGGATAGAGTTTTGAGATCATGATCTTAAAACCCGTGGAACTCGAGCTCGAATTCTCCTCCCCGTTTCCCGTCCATCCAACCGGAGCACCTTCCATGTAAGCCCTACATGTCTCGAGAACGTACTTTGATCGTTTCCCGAAATGCTCCTTCACGAGCCCCTCGAAATGCTGCAATCACAAATTTTCGAAATTACCACAAAAGTTCGCTTCTTCTAGGACAGCGATGATCGTGGTTTTTTGTTGAGAGCGATGTCGAGGGTGACCAATTTGGTTAATAACTAAATAACTAAACCGACCCGAACCAAATAATACATAACCGTAACTGAACCCAATGGTGTTATGATTTCTTTAAAACTGAAAAATTGAACTCGAATTTTTCTGAAATCGGAATAACCGAACCCGAATATAACTGAACCGAAACCAAAATGATCAATACCTTTGGAGGGTTACGGAGAGAGTAGATCATGGATTTGCACGTGAGGAGGAACGCGTTCTCGTTGTAACTCACCGAGTTCTTCTCTCCTTCAACTCTTCCCATTTGCTTATCGTAACCAGCTTCATTGAAGTAAGGCTTCTCGTTCAAAACAAGGGCTTGAAGGGATAGAAGAACTTGAAGCACCGACGAGCTCTCGGGGTTCCAGACCTCAGAACCCGAGCCATTCCATGTGTTCAGCAGACTTAGACAGACTCTTCCCGACTCGTACAAGTTGGGATTCAATCTCAACCCGCCCGAGTGATAATGTACCATCTGCACGAAAAAACATGGATACATAAATGGATCTCGAGACAAGAGGGAATATTTACATTGTGCATTTGATCCGAAATTAGAGAAAGAACGAAAGCTATCGAAACTTACGGGCGGTTCATGGGGATACTGAGGAGGAAGCATTATGTCGAAGAAGAAAAGCCCGTCGTGGTAAGGTGTACCAGAGGCTCCGACCATGGCTGCCCGTAAAAGATCCATCCTTTCTTCATAGACTCGGACATAAATCGTTTCTGTTCAACGTCACAAGTCACTCTGTCACCACCGCAATGTGCAATAACTTCGATACCACAGAGACATTACATGTTGAAATTCCTACTATCCCCCAAATTAAGTTATAAAACTCATAAGGGTGACCATTTCGGGTTCGGTTATTTCGGTTTTGTTTGGTTATTATTGATAAAAATATTCACTTTCAAAGAAATTTTTTGTTTTTTTCAGTTTTTTTATACAGTTTGGTTTGGTTCGGGTTCGACTTTTTCAGTTTTAGGGAAATCATATTCGGTTTTTATATCGTCGGATTCGGTTATGTTAGAGTTATGTGTTATTCGATTTTGATCGGTTTAGTTATTCGGTTGTTAATCAAATTGACCACCCCTAAAAGCCGAGTTAGATCGTTGGACCATCATTTTGTCGGACCCTAAAAACCGAATAATACGTTCCGAACTGCGAAAATATTTAATCAAAATAATAAATGGTAAGATCAAACACTAACCAGGAAGATCTGCCTTCAGAATGCTCCATTCCTGTCTTAATTATAAGATGAATTAATTAAACCGAATAAATAAAATTCAAATTCATGCGTCTGATTCCAAATAAACTTGGAATTAAAGTGATATTGTTGTTGTAAATAGAACCAAATTATATGTAATTGAATAAATTGAACCCAATAATTCGATCATCTATGTATTATCAATTAATGCGCAATGAACTTTCTTCACCCAACTTCTTTTCACCTATTAAGAGACGAGAATGGTACATCGCTCATTATCCTAATTCCAGACGACGTTAGAATTCTAACTCACGGGTTTATCCGATTGAATCAAACCTGAGATTGCGCAATCCCATTGCGCGGGGAAAGAAAATGATGGTCCGAACAGTCATTAACCATATCAAACTGTCCGAACTTATCCAGATTCTTGCCGGTGTCTGAAACTGTGGAATCTGCTGTCTTGCTCATTTCTTTGCCTTCCATCTGCGGAAAAATCCTTGAAACCGTATCGAGTTCTCCTGGATCCGGTTCAGAAACATTGAAAAGTTCGGTAGTTTCTTCGACAAGGACCTCGGATTCAGTTCCATCTTCAGAAGCATGACAACATGAAAGCGAACTGATAAATGAAGTGGAATATTGCGAGCCGAAAAGGCTTGCTGCTATGTTTTTGATGAATCCAACGGCAGCTTTCGGAAGGAAATATGAACTAGATCCCGTTTCGAGCGCGACCTTCATCGGATCCTGAACATGTAAGTACCCTTTTAAGACGTTGATTAAGCGAAAAAATCCACAGCATAGGAGAATGAAATTAAGATAACCATCTCTGCCAATCTTGTCGATACCGAAATTTATAGAAAATGATCACATAATATTACCAAAAACCATATAGCTTATCAGAAAGATCATACATTTGCTGAACCGAAGATGATTCATCTGAACGTATAGTTTTCTGATCCAGAACTTGAATGTTCTCTTCCAAGCTTACCGAGCTAGAGGCGGAACTTTCGGATTTTTCAATTTTCCAAATCTCGTACGGTGCAACCTGAAAAAGGAATATCCGGGAAGAATTGTTTTAGTGAAAGACGAAGACTATGGCAAAATAGACGAGAAAACATATTCTAACTCGAGTCCTAACACAATGAATGATAATACAGAAAGTTGAAAAAGAAGTCTGATACTAAAACAAGCCAGTCCCGGTAACAAAAACTGAAGAAATACTATCGGGACTAGCCAACCGAGTAAACAAGGATCGTGGAGAATGGAAAAAAGAACCATATTGATCGAAAAAAAAGAAAACAAAAAAAGAGGAGAATATTTTACCGCGGTTGTAAGACCATTAGCCCATTTCACCTCCACATAACCATTCTTGAAACCTATGACTACACCGATGCATGACAAAGAATCTGTCTGCATCTGTTTCATGTCTGAAAATTCAGCATATGGATGAGTTTTCTGCTCTGGAAGTGCCCTGAACACTACATCGCTGAAACAGAACCCGAAATCAGGGTGCTCGAGCAGTTCATAGGCACTGACAATTTCTTCCATCTGCTCATATTTGCAACCTCTAGCCTCTTTCCCGGCCCATCTTCTCCATTGCACCTTTACAGTCTGTTCCTTCCCATTGAAAACCTTCACAACCCCATATCGTTTACTGTCACTGACTTCCTTTTCCACAACAAACTGTCCGGGCCAAAACTCATGAGCATTCACAACGCCGACTGGAATCAGCTGCTGTGAATCCATTCCCGTACTGCAGCTACCGTCTTGCCACATAACATCGACCTTCATCTTCGTCTTTACAATTACAAAGAGTTCATTCAGATTTGAATTCTGGGTATTTCTCTCAAATCCTCTTTCCGATATTCCATGGCCATTCAGAAGATTGAAGGCAGCTACATTTGAAGATTTGGGTTCAATCGCGCATCGGGACGAAGTGGGATGTATACACCAGTCACCAAGTTGCCAGCTTGCATGAGAAAAACACGGTAACAAAGTCAAATTTTTCGGATCCTGCATAGATGGAGGTGCAGGCAAATTTTGATCACACTCCATTACAGTGGAGGCCACCCATTCGACATAGACGAGACCCGCTTCTACAGTGCAGACCGTTCCCACAACCCGATTTTCCTGCCAATTCCCGCATAACCATTTAGTCGATCTTGGATCATGACCGAGCTTTACCTGCACTCTCTGCCCCGGGTAATAAGCATACTGTGAATCCTCGAGCAAATTCGGGGGAATTGCTACAAGTTTCTCTTGATCACAAGCAAGGACTTCACACTTGGATCCATCATCAAGGATGACAGATACACTATCGATTATCTTTTCAATCCTTCCAAGCCACGGTCCATTAACCACGTAATCACTGACTGAAATAGAGCGCAGCTTTTGAAGCTCATTGGTGTCGACTTCCTTTATAACTTTTCCATGAATGCTCTCCAAATCGACAAACATGTTTATATTGATGACCCTTCCAGTCTGTCCCGATGGTTCGGTAATGGGCCGCACAATGTCACCATACGAAAATCCCCGTTCGAATGACAAGAATTCATCGATTTTACCGATTGTATCTTCAAGGCTCGAGAAAATGTTCTGAGCCTGTCCGCCATACGAAAACTCAACTTCTTCGTGTTCACTGCTGCCACTATCGCTGGAACTATCCCAATCAGAGTCAGTGAGACCAAGATCCATGCTTTATATGCCTGCCATGAAATCGGGTTTCCACCAATAGTTCAAAATTTCATATCAATGTGAATCAAATTACATAAAAACTTACGACAGTGAGAGAAACACAAAGAATCCCGACCTGAAACAAAATCAGACGAGAAATGGCGTGGCTTCCTTGATGTCTTTTTTTAACAAATGCAGCTTTCTTCACAGCTTTCCGGTGTATCCTCGGGGAGATATGCAAGTGGGTATTTGGAAAGGAAGTACCGAGCACTAGGATATATACTATATTATGGATAAGAGGAGCCAATACAGGACTCCTAAATGCCAAAGGAGATTTGCCCAATGAATGGACTGAAGTTTCGAAGAAACTTCAAAATGGGAACTTTTCCAAGATTTGAAATGGAGAGTTCCCGGATGCCAAAGGAGATTTGCCCTAGAGGGAGAACTTCCAACGAACTTAGAGGTACAGAACGAAGTCTACCCGGTAAAACGACCCGTAACAAAAGCCACCTAACTGGAGAAACTTCAGCTTTGCCAAAGGAGATTTGCCCCAAAGAAGCTATAAGATATGATAACTATATAAGAACAAACTTTAAGTGACCTTTACCAGGAAAGAGCCAAACTTTTTCTGTGTTTTATCTGCTTGGAGATGAAACTTTCTAAAGGGTAGGGACCAAACAAACGGCGAGAAACAAGATCAGTATCTTCAGCAAGCCGACTGAAACGACCACTTAGTCATATTCCCACCAGAACAATCGTAGAAGTATCACGGCTATGGAAGCTTTCATCTGGACAACGTGTAAGGAAGAACATCCTAATACGATATCATGAAACATAAACTGAAAAAGGAAATTCCTCATGAAACTTAATCTTCCTCCATCACTTTAACATATCCATAAAACCTGCACAATCACCACCATTAAGTTCTTAAGAACTCGCGAATTCGAAATCCGACAACCTTTAAAATAATATCGAGACCGAGGCATATGATCATGCTGAATGATAAGTTGAGCTATAACTAGGAATTTCAGCTTTCGGATAATCCAAATCACAGAAATCATCTAACAATAGGGCAAACATGGGGAAATTTCTTGTGAAAAAACAGCAATGATTAGATTCATTAAAAGTAAATATGCAGAGTAGGTCAAGAAACAGAGAACACAAACATGTGATTTCCGAATCATGTTCATATGTCTGAAGCAAATTCAAGAATCCACACAAAAAACCCTCCATGGTTGGTATTGCAACCAAAATCATCATCTACTCGCAAACTTAGAATCTTGCAGGAAACAGACTCATCAAAGATCCCAAATTCCAGAACCAGAAAACAGATAAATATTCCGAGATTCCGAATGATTTGCATCCAAAAGAAGAAATCATGATCCTTCAACCGTAACTGAACAAAACAAAAAAGGGTTTTTCAAATTTCTTATCTTCCTCGTTCGAAGTTACCTTCCATGTTTTCGATGTCCATGGCACGCAAGGCAACAAATTTGCTAAAACCCTTTTCCTCATTCGCGAGAAAATTAACGAATTCCCAATCAAAGAGGTGAAAATCGTAAGAGACGTACCATAAACATCCCGAGTGTATGAGCAGAGCCATAAGAGGAGCTAACAGCAGAACAATGGTTTCTCCCGAATTTCCTCACTTTCTCGCCCTTTCCCCGTCACGGCCGAGAAAATAGAGAGGCTTCGACGAAGAGGCGAACTACTTCTCCTTCAGTCCCACGAGTCGATCACGCCATTAACGAACCTCCAGACCATTTCGGCTAAGGATACACAACTCTCTCTCTCTCTCTCTCTCTCTCTCTCTCTCTCTCTCTCTCTCTCCCTCTCTCTCTCTCTCTGAAGTGTCAATGGAATGTTGCTGTGGAGAGGGCAAAGTGGGAGAGAAATTATATTCAGTGGTTACGGGGAAGAATATACCATCAGTATCCCCACACACAACTCATCCTTCACTCATTTCTTGTGCACTTTTTTTTTCCCCTTTCTTTCTCTCCCCACTTTCAAATTTCTTGGGACATTTGGAAAAATACACTTTTTTTTAAAAAATATAAAAATTTATAACATTTTTTAGAAAAGGAATAATAGAAAAAACTTTTGAAATCTTTGTTTTTTTAAGGACAATCATAACAAAAAAAACAAAAACTTTTAATTCTATATAAAAATATATAAATCCACAAAACACTAAATTCAATTGGTTTTTTGTGTGGTTATATGAAAGAAATTTCAAACTTTGTGTATAAATATATATATTTATTTGATAATCTTTGTTTTAGAAAAATTTATAACATTTTTTAGAAAAAGAATAATAGAAATTTTTTTGAAATCTTTGTTTTATTAAGAAATGTCATAAAAAAAATATAAACTTTTAATTCTATATAAAAATACATAAAAATTTTAATTTTTTGCGTAAACTTATAAAAACACTAAATTCAATTGTTTTTTTTTAAATTCAATTGGTTTTTTGTGTGGTTGTATGAAAAAGAATTCAAAAAATTTGTATATTTTTTTTATACAAACTTGTATAAATTTATACGAAAATTTTTAAAATTTGTGTATTTTTATATAAAACTAAAAGTTCATTTGATAAATTTAAAAAGTTTATGTTTTTTCTAATCTCCCTTTTTTTAAATTGTTAATGAAGAAGAAGACTAATACATTTTGAATCTGTAATGTACGATTTGATTCTTAATTAATCAAATATAAATTTTATTCATTTAAAGAATTAAAATTTTATTTTCCGATCATATTTATTCGCTCCTACAATATCGTTTTATAAATTTTTTTTTTCGGGTACAAATTGACACGAAGAGGATTAAAGATGAATTTTTAATACAGATATTTAGTAACCGAACCAAATTAAATTGGATAACGTGTAATTTTTTTTCGAAATTTAATTTAATTTTAAAGTTGGTTTCAAAATATGTTAAAATTTAAATTGGAGTTTTAAGACATATGTAATTAGATTATATATTATAAAGGTGTTATAATAAAGTGGATAACAAAAGGTAATTTAAAGCTTGACACGTGTCCATCGAAATGAATGGAATATATTCATCTATCATATCATATAATACAACCCTTAACTAATTCCAAAGTGTTTCAATGCTTTATGACTATATTTAGATTTGTTTTTCAAAACCATAATTATCCACCCCCCATACACACATACATACACACACACACATACATACATACATACATACATACATACACACACACACACATACATACACACACACATACATACATACATACATACATACATACATACATACATACATACATACATACATATATACACACATATAGCCTCTCTGAAAAGAGACTGTGGCATATGGCACAGCAATGAATTATTTTCTAAAACAGTATATATTTCCAACTATACATTAAATTTAGGGTTTAGCTTTACTTTTTGTAATGGACTGCACATGTCTCCTTACTTTGAAAATGAACCCCATTTTATAATATAGTACAATCAATATCATATACATATATATGAATCAATTTGTATTTAATATTGTTAATTATATATTTAATGAAAGTGTTAATCTACATCATAACTTTTATTCTCATAAAAATTTAGGTTTATTCCGATCGCAATCTGTATTTCTAAAAGACAGTGGAGAACATTATATATATATATATATATATATATATATATAACATAACCCGAAAAAACATATAGGGTTGTCAATAATTTTTTTCCATCCATTAGGAAAAATTATAGAGGTTCAATATTCGTGTAACTATCATATTCACTCTTAGCAATCCGCATAGTGATACGGATAATTATTAAATTAAAACGGCATTTTACACAATCTTGATAGAGACACCATATATATATTTAGTGGTCTCTTACATACTCAATTACAAACCCTAATACATGTCAATGTCAAAACGAGTATGGCTGGCGAGTCATATTTTACCTAGATCAATAAATTTGAGTCCGAAAAAAAATAGACATAACGAGTCAACTCGTCACAGTCGAACTGTAATGACCCCCGATCGTTACGGAACATTAAAACTATCATCATACACTAATGCGAGATCTTTTAGCATATTTTTTTCTCACTCGCATATATATCGAAAAATATTTTCCAATACGACATTCATTCTTACATTAATTGCTTCGTAGTGAACACGTTTAATTTTAGAGTTCTCTCCTGATAAATAATCGAAAAAATAGGTACATCTTATTTTTATCAATAGCTCAACTACTTCTTTTAAATTATTTTAGACTGTATAGTTTTATACCTATACAGTCCTCAAATCTCTCTCATTCTAGTGCATTCGATTCATTTTCGTATCCCTATGGCCTAGTGGTACTCGAATAGTCACTCCTTATCCATACCACTTGCATCGACGAATACTTTTAACCCTCGTCATAGCTCAGGATATCACACGAACTAATCACAACACATGAAAAATATATATTTTTTAAATTTTAATAATTTTAAAATAATTTTTAATATCTTAGGATTTTTTTAATTATATTTAATATTTTTTTTATAATCTCATTTCTTCAATCTCATTTTGAAACACTTAATGTATTATAATCTATTATATGTATACTTAATAAAATTTAAATTATGTTTTTTTAATTAGGTTTTTAGCTCGCAAACTGACTCGTTTAGTTCATGATTAAAGATGAATTGGATTGAACCAAATATTTTTCGATCAGGTAAAAAATGGATCGGATTAAACTCAAAAATTCTATGATCGAGACGAGACGGACCGGTTCGAGGCCGATCAACCCGTTTGTCATCCCTATATGTAAGTTCTCATTATCCGCATACGTAGGGTTTCCTAGGTTTCTTCTTACATTACATGATAGTTCTTGTTTGGTGTTTAAAGGCAAAACAGACATTAGTTTATGTTGTTGGTTCATTCATAGAAAAAAAAAAAAAGAGAGAGAGATGATGCAATGGAACACCCCTAACGATATAATTTGTTTTTCTTTTTTTTTTTTGTAATTTTTAAAGTTGACGACATAATAATTAATGGGTTAATTAATAAAGCAATATGTTAGATTAGTGACACTGACAAGGAGGGAAATGAGATCATTATTAGTCTAATTGGGTGATCACATAAGCAAAATATGAGTCTAAGATCCCATAACAAAGTGCAAAATCTAATTATGTGAATAATTAAAAGGAGCGTGGAACATTTTTAATCCTTAGTTGTAAAGTGATTATTATACCCATATGGGGTGTTGGAATATGACTGATTCCTAACCTTTTTTTTTCAAATTGATTTTTTAAAAGTATATTTCATTTTTTAAAATTATTTTTTATTAAAAAAATGTTTTTGGAGTATGCCATATGCTTGACTCTTTTGTCATCTTGCTTTCCATTGGTACCCTCGGCTTCATCCAAATTTGTTCAGATGTTCCTTTTGAGCCTTTGACCAATCATACCACACTATATATATATATATATATATATATGGGTGTGTGTTTGTGAATCAAAGGTAAAGTTTATGTCCACTAATTTGGAATGTGTTTTATTTAAGCAGAAAATAATTTATTATTTTATAGAATAATAATTATGACTAGAGGTGGATGTTTCAATACGGTACCTCAAAACCGAATGGTATCGAATTGAAATATGGTACCGTTTTCTGAACCGAACCGTTCAAAATTTTCGAACGATAATTTTTCAGAAAACCGAATTTCTCGGAATCGAACCGAATATAAAATAATAACCGAATAATTTTATAGATTCAAAAGAACCGAACCGAACAATTACCGATCTGAATCTAAACCCGAACCGAATACCGAAACGCCCATCCCTAATTATGATCATTATCTTAAACAAAGTTCAAACTACGCAACAATAATAATCGATCTTTTTCTTCTCTTTTTTTAAAGAATAAATCTATACTCTCTCTCTTTATTATATATATATATATATATATATATATATATATATATATTAGATTGTCCCATATGGAGGAGAAGGATGAAATTACTGAACTGAGAATGAGAACATAAAATGATTACCAAACGTAACATTCAACAAAGCCACCTAATTTTAGATTTTATGTTGGTGGAACACCATATTCTTCATGTAATTATAATCACTTTTGCACGAGGAATTATAAATTATAGAAAATATACAAAATATCGTAGATTGTATATATCTAGAAATTCTAACACTATTTTTTACATTGTAATGTTTTGGAGGTCAAAGAATAAAAAATTAGATTTAAGACTCGACTAATTGTATCGTTGCGGTTATGATTGCGGGTGGACGCTTTTAATCATTTATAGCTACTGTGGATGATTAATATAAGTTGTTGTTGGTAACGATTATAGTTGGGTGCGATTAGAAATAAATGGTTGATTATAATTACGGTTTAATATAAATTACAAAAAAGAACATAATTTTTAATATATTAAGTATTAAAAAAATATTTAAATTGAGATTAAAAATCATGCGTTTTGTTGCGATTGCGATTGGTTGCGATTCAACCAGATATTTTATAATTGTTCACAACTGGCAGAAATCGCAAACACTCTATTTACGGGTGGTAACAGAGCAATCAGTCACCCCCTTACTATCTCTTCTTGTGGGTGTTTGGATTCATCACTCCGTACATCAAATTTGCCTTTTGAATGAGTAGATTGATCTTCCCTCCTAAATTCTAATATAATATAAACCATATAAAACATTTTATTCAAAATTGGATGGCTCAACCGGTTAGGATAGAAGTAAAACTTCTTCTCAATCTGGATTCGAGTCCTCACTTAGAGAAGGGTATTCGCATGGACTTTCGAATTATTAAAAATGTGATAGCCCAGGATACCGTAGGAGGGCGGCGAGTAATCGCCGGTACGAGAGGCACAGACAAAGAGCGACTCCTAACGAGCTTTTTGGT